TAGTACTAGAAGTCCTAGCCACAGCAATCAGACAACAAAAAGAAATAAAAGGCATCCAAATCGGCAAAGAAGAAGTCAAACTCTCACTCTTTGCAGATGATATGATACTCTGTGTGGAAAACCCAAAAGACTCCACCCCAAAACTGCTAGAACTCATACAGGAATTCAGTAAAGTGGCAGGATATAAAATCAATGCACAGAAATCAGTGGCACCCAAAACCATAAGATACCTAGGAATAAATCTAACCAAAGAGGCACAGAATCTGTTCTCAGAAAACTAGAAAATACTCATGAAAGAAATTGAGAAAGACACAAAGAAATGGAAAAACATTCCATGCTCACGGATTGGAAGAACAAATATTGTGAAGATGTCAATGCCACCTAGAGTAATCTACACATTTCATGCAATCCCTATCAAAATACCATCTACGTTTTTCAAAGAAATGGAATAAATAATCCTAAAATTTGTATGGAACCGGAAAGGACCCCGAACAGCCAGAGGAATGTTGAAAAAGAAAAGCAAGCTGGTGGCATCACAATTGCTGACTTCAAGCTCTATTACAAAGCTGTCATCATCAAGACAGTATGATACTGGCACAAAAACAGACACATAGATCAATGGAACAGAATAGAGAGCCCAGAAATGGACCCTCAACTCTATGGTCAACTGATCTTCGACAAAGCAGGAAAGAATGTCCAATGGAAAAAAGAGTCTCTTCAACAAATGGTGTTGGGAAAATTAGACAGCCACATGAAGAATGGAACTGTACCATTTCCTTACACCACACACAAAAATAGACTCAAAATCGTTGAAAGACCTAAATGTGAGACAGGAATCCATCAAAATCCTAAAGGAGAACACAGGCAGCAACCTCTTCGACCTCAGCTGCAGCAACTTCCTCCTAGAAACATCGCCAAAGGCAAGGGAAGCAAGGGCAAAAATGAACTATTGGGACTTCATCAAGATAAAAAGCTTTTGCACAGCAAAAGAAACAGTCAACAAAACCAAAAGACAACCGACAGAATGGCAGAAGATATTTGCAAATGACATATCAGATAAAGGGCTACTATCCAAAATCTATAAAGAACTTATTAAACTCAACACCCAAAGAACAAATGATCCAATCAAGAAATGGGCAGAAGACTTGAACATTTTTCCAAAGAAGACATCCAAATGGCCAACAGACACATGAAAAAGTGCTCAACATCGCTCGGCATCAGGGAAATTCAAATCAAAACCTCAATGAGATGCCACCTCACACCAGTCAGAATGGATAAAATTAACAATCAGGTTACAATACATGTTGGCTTGGATGCAGAGAAAGAGGAACCCTCCTACACTGTTGGTGGGAATGCAAGCTGGTGCAGCCACTCTGGAAAATAGTATGGAGCTTCCTCAAAATGTTGAAAATAACAAAACCCAGCAATTGCACTACTGGGTATTTACCCCAAAGATACAAATGTAGGGATCTGAAGGGGTACATACACCCCGGTGTTTATAGCAGCAATGTCCACAATAGCCAAACTATGGAAAGAGCCAAGATGTCCATTGACAGATCAATGGATAAAGAAGATGTGGTATATATATATACAATGGAATATTCTGCAGCCATCAAAAGGAATGAAATCTTGCCATTTGCAATGGCGTGGATGTAACTGGAGGATATTACGCTGAGCAAAATAAGTCAAACAGAGAAAGACACGTATCATATGATCTCACTGATATGAGGAATTCTTAATCTCAGGAAACAAACTGAGGATTGCTGGAGTGATGGGAGGTGGGAGGGATGGGGTGGCTGGGTGATAGACACTGGGGAGGGTATGCACTATGGTGAGTGCTGTGAATTGTGTAAAACTGTTGAATCACAGAAGTGTACCTCTGAAACAAGTAACACATTATATGTTAAAAAAACAAAGAAGATAGCAGGAAGGGGAAAATGAAGGGGGGGAAATTGGAGGGGGAGATGAACCATGAGAGACTATGGACTCGGAGAAACAAATTGAGGGTTCTAGAGGGGAGGGGAGTGGGGGGATGGGTTAGCCTGGTGATAGGTATTAAAGAGGGTACGTACTGAATGGAGCACTGGGTGTTATATGCAAACAATGAATCATGCAACACTACATCAAAAGCTAATGATGTAGGGGCGCCTGGGTGCTCAGTCATTGGGCGTCTGCCTTCGGCTCAGGTCATGATCCCAGGGTCCTGGAATCAAGCCCCTCATTGGGCTCCCTGGTCAGCGGGAAGCCCGCTTTTCCCTCTCCCACTCCCCCTGCTTCTGTTCCCTCTCTCGCTGTGTCTCTCTCTGTCAAATAAATAAAATCTTTAAAAAAAAAAAAAAAAACAGCTAATGATGTAATGTATGGTGATTAACATAACATAATAAAATAAAGTTTACAGTTTATACAGGATAACTCAAAATTCATATAGCATATGTTAACCACACTATAATTAAAACATTCAATACTGTAGAATGGGATTATAGGTAGATTTTTAAAAATACATAATACAAATAATCAATGCTATTTAAAAAAATCATACTCATGTATGAGAACCAGTATCAAAATGTGGGTTTCTTTTTTAAGGTCTAACGTCTGTTGTTTATTTGTTGTAATGAGTTGAAAAAGTTTTCTTTTTTCTATATAATACCTGGAAGTAATTCAGCTTTCTTGCACCAGTATTACTGATATGTGTAGCCCCATTCAAAACCTAAACAAGAGTGATTTGGCAATCAACTCACCAAAAAGCACTTTCTGGTACAATCTTCTGTCCAAAGTCTTATGATTACTTTTACCTTTATTTTTCATACAAAAGAACTACCGGTATTATGCTAAGTGAAGTAAGTCAGAGAAAGACAACAAATACCTAATGATTTATATGTGAAATCTAAAACACAAAACAAATGAATAAACAAACAAAAAGCAGAATCAAACCTATAAATACTGAGAACAGTGTGATGATTGCCAGAGGGTAAGAGAATGGGGGATGGGCAAAATGGGTGAAGGGTAGTGGGAGACACAGACTTCCAGTTATGGACGAGTAAGTCATGGGAGTAAAATGTACAGCAAGGGAATATAGTCAATGGTATTGTAACAGTGTTGTGTGGTGACAGATGGTAGCTACACTTGTGGTGAGCATAGCATCTTGTATAGAGTTGCTGAATCACTACATTGTGCATCTGAAACTAATGTAACATTGTGTGTCAACTATACTCAAAAAATAAAGAACTACCAAGACAGTAACTTCCCACACATTTCAGACTCTCTTAACTATCAGCATCCTTTCCTAAATACAGACAAAGCATTCCTAGAAATATTTACAAATTTAGAACCTAAACACAAAGAGTTCTGGGAAAATTTAGCCATAAATAAATCAATACTTTCAAAATGGCATTAAATTTTATCTGGGGAAAGAGATACATTGGCAACATAAGAAATAAAATTCAAAAGCATAATATCTGCTCTCTTTGACTGATAACCTAGATTTCTGTGATATTGAAATGAAAATGGCAATGAAGAAACTGTAAAAGCATTCGATGCAGAAAGTAACTAAACACGCAGCAGAAAATATTTACAAGGTAAAGATTAATAGTAATTCAGAATTCAAGATTAGCCAAATATATTTGCTTGGTTCCTGTGTGCTAATAAATAGATATTGGAAGAAATAATCCACAACTGAAGAAACAGCTACTTGATATAAATAGGATTTCTACATCTATAACTTTTTTTTTTAAATATTTTTAAGATTCAGCTTTACACAGAGGTGGTATGGAAGCTTTAGCAAAGCAGTGAATCATAAAGTTCTTGGTTCTAGGACCAATTCTGTCAACACCAGTCTTAAGAACTTTGACAAAATTTTAAGTACTCCTGTTGGTGGCTTCCTCTGTGGAATATACAGTAAGAGTGTCTGTCCCACTTACCCCTCAGGGCTTCTGTGAAGATCACGTAGACATTAGTAGATTAGAGGGCTTTGAACGTTAAAAGTTCTACACAAACAAGAGCTCTTACTCCACTGAAGTTGTTCTTGATATTCCAGATTTGGTTCAGTAACAACAACAAAGGCTCAAACAAAAATATTCTTGCTCAGAAATTATTACAAGTAAGTGGAATAATTTGTCAACCTTCATTTTGACAATCTGTATTCACCTCATTTGCAATGCAATGAGGTAATAATTGGACTGTGTTGCACAATTTACAGACTTACCCAAATGAGCATATATGGCCCATTTAGCTAAGGATATTTTAATAGGTGCTATTTATTACGAGTTGATCTCCTACAATAATATCATACAGCTGATATGTATTTCCTTTAGAAGACCACTTTGTTGGGCGTCTGGATGGCTCAGTTGGTTAAGCGACTGCCTTCGGCTCAGGTCATGATCCTGGAGTCCCTGGATCGAGTCCCGCATCGGGCTCCCTGCTCGGCAGGGAGTCTGCTTTGTCCTCTGACCCTATCCCCTCTCACGTGTTCTCTCTCTCTCATTCTCTCTCTCTCTCAAATAAATAAATAAAATCTTTAAAAAAAAAAAAAGAAGACCACTTTGTTTAATATATTATCTAGGTATTTATTTATTTTTAACATTTATCACATCTCATAATTTACACAAAGGAATGACAACTCTCTCAAATGCATCAAAGCATAGAGGCTTGTGAGCCCTGCACGAATTGGCATTGATGGATGTTTTGCTTGTCTTTTTCCCAAAACTTTCTTTCATATGAAAAATACCTGTTTCCATTCTGTTTGTCTTTGAACACACCTGTTTTCCAATTTATCACCAATTATTTCACACACACCAAGCCACCAACTAGTTTTAAATGAATTACAGTTCTAAATTAAGTATTGAGAGAACGAAAGAAATGTATTTAAATAGGTAAATCACCTTACCTGACTTGGCTACTGAGCTTTTCATACTTCGTATGTTTCAGCAATTAACACACCACATGCAGGGTAAGGTTGTAGGAGACAAAGGGGAAAAGTGAGGAAATAGAAAACTTCCACTTACTGCAAATGAAAGTAGATTCATCTGAATTATCAGCGCAATCATTCACAAAATCACACAGCTTGTCCTTTGCAATGCACTGCTTGTTTGCACACGTGAATTCTTGAGCAGTACACTTCCTGTCTGGGCTAAGCAGGGGGGCACAATCTTGAAAGGAAATATCATCCACTGCTACATCTCCCATGTAACTGATACCACGCTTTGCCCTAAAGACAATCTTTAAAAAAAAAAAGGAAGAAAGGAAAGAAGGAAAGGAATCCAATTTCAGTTGAATTGTCCAAGAATTCAAAATTTGAGGCAACCATTAAATACAGGACATTAGGTTTGAATCTAATAAAAATACCCCATAACGAAACTTACCCAAAATGTTTGAGAGTCATCCCACAAATGTGGGAGTGGCAACACCACTATGTCTCGTCTAGATTTTTAGGACAGGTGGCAAAGATAACCAGCAGGAGCCACCAACCTACCAATGCTGCTTCTCTCTCATCCAAAACAAGACCTGCTTGCTTCTTAGAGCCTCACCTGCACCTCGTATGGGAGGAAAGAGGCCAATCAGGTGACAAAGCACACGAAGAGAAAGAAGATGCAACCACATCCTTTATTTTGGCCAATTTGTTGCCACTCCTCAGATCTGTCCACCCCAACTATGTGAAAGTGAAGATATCAAACCTCAATACCATGAGTTTTTTTAAATTGCCCACATTTTTGGAATTGAAATGATTTTAATTTGCCTTTGACCAATGTATGTGATGAACAAAATTCTCATGTGTGCCACTGTCTGACAGGGAAATCCCACTTACATGGACTCCAAAAGAATTAGAAATGATTAAAGGTCATAACAGGAGTTGCTAAAATGTTTAGAAATTTCATCTTCAATTTGTAACATTACCAGTGCTTGGAAGAACAATTAACACTGTTTCACGGAACACAAGAAGTCACAAATTATTTAGTTTCAAATTTCTAAGTGAAATTAATTCAGAATGTTTCTATTAAATTTCTCTGCATGCCAAATATGTATTTGTGTATTAACATAAGAAAAATTCACATATTTTAAAGTAAATTTAGAGCAATTTGAAATGAGTTAACAAGGAATACAGATTTACTTCAGTGATTTTATACAAATATTTATTGTTCAAACTCCCAAACAGCTTTTGATGAAATCTAAACATTTTTCTCAAAAGAATTACAATTTTTCCTGAGGATGTGTTATGCTTTTATGTGACTGTATGAAAATGCATGTTTCCCTTTTAAGATAAGATGGTAGAATAATTGAAAATCTTGCCTCTCAAATTATCAAAACCAAAACAAAATAAAAATACAATTTTTATGTTAATTCATATACCAAATTTACATATATTGTTCTTTATAACAGATATGCTGGAAAAGAAAAATAAATTTGATAGATTGAGAGGTTGGAAGTCATTAAGAAAAGGTGAAACTAGAAAGAATAAGGACTACAGTGTTTTATAAGGAAACACCGATACACAAATTGAAAAGGGTACTCTATTTTCTGGATGCATCTAAACATTTAAATATGTGATACAGTGTTCTGTGAAAAAGAAATCAGATAATAAGTGTTTCCTTATTAATTTGTTTTTGCACAACTCTATAGATGGTCTCTCAGGTGCCTGCCATGTTCAAATGATCAAATCACTGCTTATATCCCAATGCTCCATAAGATGTTGGTTAAGATTCCATACACTTTCTTACTGAATGTGATTACACTTTCTTTAAAGAGTAATTATATTTTTTCAGTAAAATAAAAAGGGTCAATTATTTTGGAAAATTTGGAAAGCAATATGGCACAGCGTTTGGATTATGGACTTGGAGATAAACTGGCCTTGCTTAAAGTCTGTCTCTGCCATTTTGTAGTCTGCATCTAGAGCAAGTTCCCTCGTGTGTAGGTTAACTGTGTATTCTAATATAAAAGGGGGATAATGATCATACAATGACTGTAAAAACTAAAGGAATAAATGTTTCAAATTCATAGCATAGAACTTAGCACTTAGTAAGTGCTGTGTATATGCCTGCTTTAGTTACACGACCTATTTTACTTAAGTACTTTGACCTTAAGGTCAAAGTTTGAGGGCTCCCAAATAAAACTCCGAAAACTACTCAGTGCTGATTCCGCATATAATTTCTAAAAGCATCTTATATTTTACTCAAGGGTTAGAGGTATTCCTCTTTCTGAGGTGAAAGGGAATGATATTGTCAAAATGGGAAAAACACAGACAGTATGCCTGGCTCAGTGTATAGTACTGAGCTTTGCACATAGTGGGTTCTTAGTAAGTCTGTATGGAAGGAATGAGTGAATCCAAAAAAAACATCAAATATTCACAAGCCATTATTATCTAATTTTAAGAATCAAGCAACATGGGCATATTTCTCTTCAATCAAATTTCAGTATATGAAAAAGCAAATTTCAGAAACGTTAATTAATAATTGATTCCTCCTGCTGAAATCCCCCTTAATGTTATTTTGAACATGATTTTACTATACAAATATTCTACTTGCACAGAACTAGTTAAGAATTCATTGCCTGGGGTAGAAGTCTATGTCTGGCAGCAGCGAAAACTTCTCCATGTTCTTGCTGAGGATTCTTCTATCCTCAGTTAAAAGATCTTAGAGAATGAACAGGTGGAGTCATTTTAAAAATAAATTTCATATTGTGCAATATGAAATTGCAGTCCAATAATTACATCTTCAGGCTGAACTTATTTCTTATCAATTTCCTAAATAATCTACAAATGATCCATAAAAAAACTGGGCTCTAGTGAGAGGCCAAAAACATATGGGATTTATGACACCTACCATTCCAAGAAATTGGGGACAGGGCTGTATTGATCCTTTACAGAGGTAGCTGCCCTGTGCTTCCACCGGTATGGAGAGGAGCTGATCTTTCACATAGCATGTGACTATAGTTACTGAATTAGCCAAGATATATCTTCTATATAATTAGCCAAGATATATCTTCTATCTAGAGATAAATGGTTCTAAATTCATGAAATTAAGCCCTGTGCAATTAACACTAAGAAAATGGTCCCAGGCATAAATGCTTTTGGCTTCTCACTTTCCTGATCCAAATCTTAAAAATTTTAATAGCTAAGCTAAGGTTTTCTTCCAAGAAAACCCCCTTCTGCCAAATACATGCACACACACACACACACACAAATACACATACGCACGTGCGTGCACACACACACACAACCATGAGTTATTTTCTTGATAATCCATAAAAAACAAAATCCATACCAATTACCTTGGCATATAATTATCTTCAATTTAAGCATATGTACTACTTCTTATTTTAAATTGTTAGAGATGTGTAGGTCTTATACTCCTAATATTATTGTAATCTACATGAAGACAAATATAGCATTATATAATTTTGTGCCTACCCAAAATATTTTTGAGTTAGGTAAATCAATTACCTCTACTAAGGTTCAACAATACAACGTGCTCTCAAAAGTCTGTCTTTTTAATTAGTTTTGAAATAGATTAACATAATTACTCCACAGTCTCCGGGAATATATCTGTAAAATCGAGGGAGGTGTTCTTTGTATGAGTGAGGCTGATTGTGAAGTGAAGCATGATGGCTGGCATTAAAATTACATAGTCCTAGAACTTGGTTGTCTATCTGGGAGAAATTAGGACATCTGGAACTGTTAAATCCCTTACGGAAATGCTACATGGAGTGGTAGGCATTCATATAACACATCAGGAAGGGGATGGGAGGATAAAAAGGCTATGAGTGGAGGAAATAAAGTAGGATTAGAGAAAAAAAATTCAACAAAACTCCCATATCACCCAACAACTACTTGGCTTAACAAACCTGTATATGTGATTGAACGCCTAAAAACACTTCCACTTTCTTCCACTGTGCACCTTGCTGTCCTCTTTGAGCCCACAATTTAGAAGTAACATTGTCTTTCTTGCTGAGTACCTACCGAGATAAATTAAGTAACAGGTGTTAAAATATTCTGTCTTGATAAATTTTAAACATTTAGAATTTGCCCAGTGATTTTTAAAAATTTTAATATCACCATGAAGTCCCTTAGAGAAAAGTGGGGACAGTTAACGTTAGATGTCTTTGTTTTCTATACAGCAATGTGTCTCCAGGATCCCTCACAAGCTTTGTGTAATAAAGGTGTACATGAATATCTGTCAGTCAGGTCCAAAGAGTCTAGGCACCATTTCATTAACACTTAACTACATTAGCTTTTAAAAAAAAAAACTGACAGAATTAACAATTGGAGTTTTATATATTAAATAATATTCATGGAGTCGAAATGAAAAGCACTTATTACTTAAACATTTTTTTGAGGATGACTTGCCTTCCTCATGCTCTTGGGTTCAGTGGGGACAATGTGTTATAATGGGAACCCATTCAATTTTAATAGCACACCTGAGTTATATGAGTGGGCACTGACTCTTCCTCCCAAGAGCCTTGACACCTTGCATTCTCCTCAGTACTCTATCCTTATTCTAAAGGGAAATTCAGATTAGTCTCAGCAGACAAATTATCCTGGCTCTCCTTTTAGAATGCTACAAAATGAACAAGAGAGTAACTGAAGAGAACAGGGAAAAGCAGAACAATTCCACATTTGAAAGTAACTGACTTAGTTGGTTTATTTATTTCACAGCATTACTTCTTAAAAATACAATGTGTACAACCCAAAGAATCATTCTGGTAATGGGTTTGTGAAGGTTTTGACTTTTGAAAGTGAAGGCAACTTTTAATGGTTTCATTATCTCCGTATTTTCAGTTAAATTGAAACAGCTATTTTTTATTGGAGTATAAATAACATTCAAACTATTAATTTTATAGAAGTAGAGTTTCAAGACCCTTTAGAATTTCTAAGTAATAGGGAGCTAACAAAAATAATGCCATAGTTTTGGTCTAAATAATTTATATAATTTAAGTTAACAACATGCTTCAGGGGCACCTGGGTGGCTCAGATGGTTAAGCATCTGCCTTCAGCTCAGGTCATGATCTCAGGGTCCTGGGATCGGGTCCCATATCAGGCTCCCTGCTCAGCGAGGAGCCTGCTTCTCCCTCTGCCTGCCACTCCCCCTGCTTGTACTCTCCCTCTCTCTCTCTCTGGAAAATAAATAAATAAAATCTTAAAAAAAAAAAAAATGCTTCAAGATCAAAAAAATATAATTCCTAAAAAAGTAAAAATCATTTTTTGATGAATACTTTAAAAAAGTATGGGAAATAGATCTTTGTATGAGTGCCATTCTACATATAAATGACTAAGAAAAATATGTTCATGCACAAAAACAAGGATCACATGCACTACCATTTTAGTTATTTGATAACTACTTATGACATTTTAATATTTTATAAATTTTCACCTACTAATACAAAATTGTACCTGAAAAAAGAAAGTATATTTCAGATAATTAATCTTAACTACAAAATATACCAGTTAAATAATTCTCATTTTTCTGATGAAAACCCTGCAGTAAGCTGTACTGATTGCTTGCCAAAAACCATTTTTTAAAAAGTCAATCTAAAACAAATGATAAGCTATAACTTTAATCCATAAGACTATTGGATGTTTTTAGATTATCAAACATGTACACATACTTATATACAAACAAGTTTACTTTTAAATCATTATTGGTAAGGAGTCTCACCTATAATAAAGAAGATAATTCTTCCAAAACTGATAAGTAAATATAATATGTTTTCAAGTAAAAAAAACAAAACAAAACAACAGCATTTGTGAAATATGCTTATCTAAAACTTATTTGGAAAAATAAATATTTAATATAACCAGGAAAATCTTAGAATAAGACAGTAATAAAATGAGGAGACAAAGCACCTAATATTAAAATTATAATCAAGGCACAGGGGAAGAAGTGGTTAAGCAGCTGGCTTGCAGTCTTTGTTGGGGGGGAAAAAAGTAGGTAACTACCTGTATTCTTTTTGCAAATATGCTAAACATAGGCTTCTTCACTAACAAATTAATGGTATTTGACAAGGGGAAGAGCCCTCTGCTATGCCTGCATTTAGCAAGATATTCCTGGTCTAAAACTGCTCACGGTAAACGATTCTAGAATTTTGGGATTGGTCTTTTAGACATGGCTTCCTGGAAAATGCTACATAGGGTATGAAATAGTACAAATGGAGATGTTTGACAACTGAGTTGGCTTGTTCTGTGTAAATGATGCGTCTATACATATTACTTAAAACCTCATATTGTATAAGGCATGTCCAATATGGGAAAAAAGGATGTAGCCATCTGCCTTGGGACTCCAGAACCTCTCTCTGGTTTGCCTATATAACTTGGCCTTCTAAAAGAAACCAGGACCCCCTGGAAAAAGTTAACTCCAGGGATGGAACAGGATAAAATTAAAATGAGTCTGGAACATCTTCTTGGACAGGAAGGAAGAAAGACTAATGGGACTGTCAAAGAGACATAGAAGCCAGCTTCAGGTTCTCCTATGAGCAAATCCGGGACAATTTAAGAATCAATGAAAAATAACAATAATAATAGACAATAACAAATTGAATACAAAAAGGATCCATGAATCCACACTGATATAAATCAATAAATGGAGATGTAATTTGGTTGTTGTTGTTGGTGGTAATGGTGTTCTTTATAATGGAAAACTAACCAACAAATGTAACAGAACAATGGAGTTAAAACATCACAATTAAGCAATCATCATAGTAAAATTAATTCCGGTGAAAAATACTAAAGGAAGCAAAAACTAGCAAGGAAAATTGACTTGAGAACAGGATTTTACATACTATCAAAATATCTCTTCACAAAATATTTATTGATAACAAAGGGAACAAAAGTAATAATACCTATGGATATCATGTACTACCAATGGGATGCAGTAAAAAGAATACAATATTGGTAATATTACAGCAAATATATATATAATATATAAATAATATATATAAATATGTATGATATATATAGGTTTAACATTGAACAAATCTAAATTGAGTGGAGTCTACATATTGGATTAGATTAAAATATTTTAAAATATCAAGGTCATAAAAGTCTAGAGAAGATTAAGGAATTATTCCAATTTAAAAGACACTAGGAAGAAATAACTAGGTGTGATATGTGATCCTGTATGGAATTTTTCCTATAAAAGATGGTCTGGGACAATGAGCAAAAAAATAGGAACTCTGATTGAAAGTTATACTGGGGTTGTCTGTGAGATTCTTGAAACAGTTCGAAATAGTTGAAACAGTAATTCTGAAACAGTTTAATTTTTTTTAACAAAGAAACAATTTGAAAAAGACAATTGGAAAATGTAGCAGCAGAACCATCAACTTGAAGAATGCACATTCAAAGGTCATTGAAGTGTGTATAATCCATTTGCACTATTCTCAGAACATTGGTCTTCTCAGAACGCTGACACTAAAAACTACATGAAACACTTCAAGTACAAAACTGTATTACACACAAGCTGTGTGTATTTATTCTGAGGTTTCAGAATAAAGATGATAACCACAAAGTGAATAGTAAAAACATCCTACTGGCCATTCAGGTCTAATTCTGCTAAAGCTTTTTTTTCAATCATGCCATATTGAAACTAGTAAGGCGTTGATAATTACCCATTCTCATCTACTAGCAGACCATATTTTAATAACACTAAATTGTACAGTATGAATTTTTATAGAGAAAATTTAGAAAGTGCAATTGCCTAAGGAGTACCTGAAGAGAACCAATTGTGACACCATTCATATGAGTCCAGAACACCAGGGTACATCTTGGTCCCATGCGTGAAATAACAGGAGTGAGTATATCAGCCGTATCACCAAATTTTCCATTTGAACTATCAGCATACAGGTACCAGCCATCTGTGGTATTTCTGGGGAAAGTACAAAGTGTATATCAGATTAAAAAAAAGAAGAAAATCATAAAACATATGGCTCATCACTGACCATACTTTATTGTTCTGTAAGTTTTCCTAGAAGCATAATAATGTTTTATAGCATAATGATGACTCACAATCTTCAGCAGCAATAATTATTCTACTGCCTCTTACCTATAGCCAGGAGGATGCCACAGGCAGTTCATTCAAGACTGGCTCAGTCTGACCCCTTTCTGGGGACTGTGGATGAAGGTCACAGGCCTAAGCCTCATCTCATCCCAGAGGCCTTGGGAAAGGAGATTGGGGATTCTTTCTTCCTGCCCAGACAGGGTATGCCCCCCATGGCTGCCTTTCTGAAGGAGTGAATCCAATGTTGACTGGAGAAATACCATGTTTACAGCTGGAGGAGAAACATGCCCAACACTGGTGGAGGTCTGACTCGCAACAGGGCCCTGGCCTCCTTTATGGCACAGGCAGAGATGACAGGGACAAGGAGCATATGACTCCTTCTGCTCCCTGATCCTGTGGTACTAAAACCACTCACCACCTTCCTCAAAGCCTTCTTGCCCCTGGGCATTCCCTGCCTCTATCATTCCCTTCCTCTAAGAGTCCCAGCTCCTTGACCTATCAGCTGTCTCCCAGAAAACCAGTGTTTGGAGCAATAAGATTTTTTTTTGCTTGAGTCTTTTTTCTAAAGAAAGGTAAAGAGCATTGTGAGAATCTTTATGCTGTTGAGGTTTACCTTCTTAGAAAACAGATATTAATAGGATGGATGTCTGAGTTTCAGCATCAGAGTATCTTTCAGAAGCTCGGAACAGCAAAAGTTCGGCCTCCACTGCCTAAGGAGGGGGCCCCTCACTCTCTGCCCTCAACTTGCTTCATGCTGGCTGGGTTTCCAGCCCGCGCATCAAGTGCCCCACTCAACTTTGATCCTGCTTGTGCCACCCCCCCCCCCACATATCTGGGGGCACTTGTCACTCTTGGGTTATTGCTCTCCCCTGACTCCTTTCCCCGTCCTTGGTCTGTCTGGTGGCCCCCTGACAGGCAGAGCACTGCTGGAGTCGCCTAGGAATTGGCAATGTGACAACAGCCAAGGTTGAGGCTGAGGCCCAGGGACAGCGCCTCGGCCATCCTCCCACACTGGGCTGAGACACAGCCTTTGGGATGCCAGGTCCATCTCTGATCCTGCCTGCTAGTCTTGGAGGACAGGGACTCCTGTCTAGAGAGACATCTTCAGAGGGGAAACCAGGAGGTGGGACTTGAGGGTTGGCTAATGTAAGCTTCCACAGCTACCATCAAGTGGTGAATCCATTGCCACTGGTTGCCCAGGGGTCCCCACATCTTTTTTCCCTGAGAGCCCACAGGGGAAAGGGAGTTTGTTGAGGAATATTTTAAAGAAACCTTTTGTGCCTTTCATCAGAGCACACGAGTAGGTTGCAGTGATTTAACATTTGTGTGGGGTTGACTCAGGTGCAAGGGAGGTTTTAGCCCAGGCCAAACTTAGTTTAAAATACTACATAAAAATCCATTTTTCTTTCTTTTTTTTTTGCACAGAAGCTGGTAATCTAGGACCTACATGTGAAAGCTTTATATCAGTATTTTTGTACTTGGCTTTCTTGGGTGGGTATGATACATTATATTTAAGTTCCTTGAACACTGTGGATCCCCCTAATGTGGATGAATGACTGAGGCTTTGTAAATTCAGGGACATTTGTGTGAATAAAGTTTTTTGATGGGGTCAAAGAAGCCAAAGAAAAAAGAAAGAAAGAAGGAAGGAAGGAAGGAAGGAAGGAAGGAAGGAAGGAAGGAAGGAAGGAAGGAAGGAAGGAAGGAAGACTCTACTATCAGTTGGTACATGGTAAAGGCTGAAATTACCAAGTCTAATCGGTAATTACTTGGTTGTGTGCTTTTGTTTTGTGTTTTAAATGATACTGCCAATAACATGGTCAGCTTTGTACAGCTTTTCTTTTTTTCAACATTTAATTTTTTATTGAAGTATAATTGACATACAATGTTATTAGTTTCAGAGGTATACTGATTTGATAATTCTATACACTACTCAATGCTCACCACGATAAGTGTAGTCACCATCTGTCACCGTATATTATTACAACATTATTGATGATATTCCTTATGTTGTACTTTTCATCTTTGTGACTTACTTCCTTTATAACTGGAAATTTAAAGTTTGTACCTCTCAATCTATTTTGCCTATCCCCCCCATCCTCTTCCCATCTAGCAACCACCAGTTTGTTCTCTGTATTTAAGTCTGTTTGGTTTTTTGTTCATTCATTTGTTTTTTTAGATTCCACATGTGAGTGAAATCATATTTTCATGTGCATAAAAAGGACTCTAAAGAACTGAATGCTTTTAGAAGATGCACATAAAGAAGAAAAATACATGTAAAAAATTAAGCATGTAAACTAGAAAGGAAGCTGGCCTGGGGTTCCACTTACAAGTCTAAAAGGCTTTCAAGGTTCAAGTTTAATCTCTATTAATTTAGTTCAGTTTTACTTAAATATTTTTAATATTTTAATAAGCTGGTAGATAATTTTTAAAGTGTGTCTTTTTCCTCCTTACTTCCAAATAAAAGAGGAAAAGTCAGAATGAAAACAAGTGAATATCAAATTAATCTGGCCATAAAAGACAAAGTTGATGCCCTCACTTTAAATATCAATTCAAAAAAGAAATATTAAACATCAAAGACATCTAGGTAACACACAGTCTTTTAAAGTATTAAATGAAGAGGTGACTCCCCACAGTTTGGGCATTCTGGAACACTTTGATTAATTAGATTTCTCACCACTTTCTCACCTAAGTATTATGCTAGATACTATAGAATGTAAATTTGTACTTATTAAAACCATTTTTATTTTTCGGGGTGCCTGGGTGGCTCAGATGGTTAAGCGTCTGCCTTTGGCTCAGGTCGTGATCCCAGGGTCCTGGGATCGAGTCCCGCATCGGGCTCTCTGCTCCTTGGGAGCCTGCTTCTCCCTCTGCCTCTCTCTCTCTGTCTCTCATGAATAAATAAATAAAATCTTTAAAAAAAAAAAACATTTTTATTTTGAAAGTTTTATCATTTTTATTGAGGAAAGAAATGTGAATCACTAACAGGAAATGGATGGGGAAAAACACATAAGTATTCATTCAATCCCCACATATTTATCAACAGTCTTTGCAGTTTTGCCTGCCTGAGGCCCTGGGAATGGGACTGTGAGCAAAGCATAAAACAGGGTTTGGTCTCTGACCTCATCATTTACTAGGTGGACAACATTAGGCAGGTTAGTTAACCTCTCTTAACATATTAGTTTCTTCATTTATGAAATGTTCCATATAAGGTCTTAATAATTATAAATAAAAGGCGCCTGGGTGGCTCAGCCAGTTGAGCATCTGCCTTCAGCTCAGGTCATGATCCCAGGGTCCTGGAATTGGGTCTTGCATCGGGCTCCCTGCTCTGCGTGAAGCCTGCTTCTCCCTCTGCTCCTCCTCCCACTCGTTCTCTCAATCTCTCTCTCTCTAATAATAAATATTTTTTTTTAATTAGAAATAAAATAAACGAACATCTAAAACAGTACCTGGCCCATCTTATATATTTAATAAATGATAGTTGTGATTTGTGGTTATGTTTATGTCATTAGTTGCTGCCAATGGAATAAAGAGTTTAGTGTCCTACAAACCGCAGAGGGTATGAGTAAAGATCATTTTTAAGAAGCAGGATTATTATATTAATTTGAATTAATGTTGCAATACCTAAGCACTTCCAGCTTCATTTCTTGTGTGCTTAATATCCCAGGATCCTAGGGATATCAAGAACAGAAATTAATGGGGCACCTGGGTGGCTCAGTAGTTAAGTGTCTGCCTTTGGTTCAGGTCATGATCCCAGGGTCCTGGGATCGAGCTCTGCATCGGGCTCCCTGCTCAGCAGGAAGCCTGCTTCTCCCTCTCCCACTCCCCCTGCTTGTGTTCTCTCTGTCAAATAAATAAAATCTTAAAAAAAGGAACAGAAATTAATATATAATTGATTCACTGGTTTATAGAGTCACTGAGATCCAGCACAATTTCTACAGATATTTTTTTCCCATATTGGCAAACAGATCCTAAGCTTCATATGGAAATCCAGAGGACTAAGAAGAGCCAATTTCAATGTAAAGAACAAAGTTAGAGAATTTACTACAAAAAATGTATTCACTATTAAGGTGTAGTAATCAAGACAGAGGGTTACTGGAGTAAAGACAGGCAAATGGGCCAGATAAATTCAGGTATATTTGTACACCTGATTTATAAAACTTTGGTTCTTCAGAGCACTGAAGGAAAGGGCAATCTTTTCAATGTGTACTGAATAAATTAGGTAGCAATGTGGGGAAAAAAAATAAAACTTGCCCCTATTTCACAGCTTTCAAAAATAATAAATTCCAGGTAGATTGTACCTGGAGTGTAAAAGGTTAAAACAATAAAGCTTCTCTAAGATAATATAATAATATCTTTATGTTGTGGAAGTGAGAAAGTTTTCTTTAATAATACACAAAAATTACTAACCATAAGGGGAAATATTTAAAAATGGGCTGTATCCAAATTAAGGATTTCTGTTTATCAAAGATACCAAAATGATGATCAAAGTCATCACTGAATCATTAGTGAATGGGAGGAAAGCACACATATCACATTTAATGAATATAACATTTACTGACTGCTTACTATGTACCATGCACTATGCCAGATGTTCAACAGTATGTGGGTGTGTGTCTGTGTGTCTGTGTGTGTGTGTGTGTGTGTAGGGGCCATGTCTATTTTGTTTTCAAAGCAGTACCTGGCTCATAGATCCTCAAAAACTACTCGATAAACAAAACAAATGAATTTAAAATTGGTAGAACACATGTAGAAATAAAAAGACTAAAGGAATGACAGAACTATGGATTCAGATGAAATTATTCATGAAAAGTTGATAATGTGTTTCATGCTGAGGGGAGAAAAACAACATAAGAAAACACAAAACAAAC